AAGGTATTAAGATTCTTTAATTTTGGACCTAGTTTTCAGAAGTGGATCAGAACTTTTTTTAATGATATGCAATCAAGTGAACTTGTCAATGGATTTGCTAGCACCTTTTTTCCTATAGCCAGAGGTTGTCGCCAAGGAGATCCGGTATCGCCATATATTTTTGTTTTATGCGCAGAAATTTTAGCTTTACTTATCAGAAATAATAAAAATAAAAAGGTATTAAAAAAGGAAGTATTGAATATGTTCTTGCACAATTTGCTGACGATACCTCTTTATCTTTAGATGGCACTGAGAGTAGCCTATATGCCTTACTGAACATTTTATCCTTTTTTGCAAGGTTTTCTGGCTTGAAAATTAATGCTGACAAGACAAGACTGATCTGGATAGGTTCAAAGAAAAGATGTAGATATAAACTCTGTAAAGACTGGAACTTAGATTGGAGTCAAAACGACTTCAAGGTACTGGGTATTATGTTTGATGTAGACCTTGACAAAATGGTGAAACTGAATTACGATGATAAGTTCAAAAAGATAGAGAAGGAAATGAAATTATGGTCAATAAGAACACTTACTCCAATCGGTAGAAATGCTGTTTTGAAATCACTACTGCTTGCAAAATTAAACCATTTATTTTCCTCAATTCCATCACCCCCAGATGAAATAATAAATCAATTTCAACAAGCCTGCTTCAAATTTGTATGGAAAAATAAACCAGACAAAATTAAAAGAGACGTTTTGGCTATGCCACCTGATTACGGAGGAATTAGTGTCCCACTCATTAAGAATAATATTTATGCACATAAAATAACATGGATAAAAAAATTATATTCCAGTAACTGCAAATGGAAATCATTAGTGGATAACTGTATACCTAATTACGGAAGACTTTGGTTAGCTGATCCTGAATATTTGGAAAAACATATAAAACCATACACAAGAAATCCATTTTGGAGAGATGTAATTTCTGCATGGGGATCATATTTACAAAAGCATTATAAGATAATAAACCCAAATGACATGTTAAATCAATGTATTTGGTTACATTATATGTTTAGCATAGGTAACGAAACAAATTTTATAATCAATTGGTACAATGCTGGAATACACTTTATATATGATCTAATGAACCCAACCACAGGGGAATTCTATACTTACGAAGAACTACAAAAAATATACCAATTTGAAACAAATATCTTAAGATATCACAGTATTAAATCTTCCATAATTGCCTGCTTAAAGAGAAGACAAATCCTTCTACCTAAAATACTCCCATTCTCACCAATACTACCATTTAACATATCCAAGCTTAATCTAAAGGTCAAAGGCACCAAAACTTTTTACCTTTCTTTACTGGACTCCAATTACAATAAGTCTTATGCTCATAAAAAGTGGGAAAGAGTCTTTGAAACACAGTATGATAACACAATGCTACGAAATATATATATGATGGCAAAACGATCCACAAAATGTAGCGATTTGAAATGGTTACAGATGAAGATATTGTATGATATTCTACCCACAAATATTTTCTTAAATAGGATCGGTCTAAAGGACACACCTTTGTGTACATTCTGTTCAAAGGAACTAGAAACAATTGTCCACCTACTCTGTAATTGTTGTCAAGTTAAAAAGATTTGGGAGAGTTTGACCAGATGGTTGATGACTGTAACTGAAGGTAATATTGACTTTACACCAGAAAACATCGTACTTGGATTTAAAGGGAAAAACAATAATTCTCTAAATGCAATATGTCTTGTTGTGAAACTGGTAATATACACACAAAAAATAAAAGAACAAGTTCCAAGTTTCAAACATGTAGTAAGCGAAGTATCAAAATACCATAAAATTACAAAATATAATGCGTACTCTACATGCAGCAACAGTGAGTTTTTTACCTTCTGGTCATCTCTCCACGATCTATTTACAGAAAATACTAGGTCAGAAAACATATAACAAATGTATTTAATTATTACTATTAGTATTGGAGCTACTGAGATAGATATAAAGATGTTTATTCATTGTATGAAGGGGATTTGTGAGTGTGTATCGAATATACTTGATATATTGTATGTGAATATTTGTATGAATATACTTATGTGAATGCATTCTTCATGTACTATGTAAAATGTGGAAATAAAGATGTTAAAAAAAAAATAAATAAATAAAAAAAAAAAAAAAAATATTTAAGCTTCAATAATTAGTGAGAGGCACAAGAAGACTTTAACTTGGAAAAATGCATTGCGTCTAAGGGAAACATCAAATCTTAGCTGTTTTTCTACACACTCTAGTTGGCAATTGTTTTAAGAAAGTATTCTTGCTTCAATAGCTCTAAAATGATCAAAATTGACTTATATTACAGTTAATTACAATGTCTGTTACACTGTGTTAAAGAAAATAATAACAATAAGCAATGTAAAACAATTTCTTAATATTCCTTTAAATATATTCATCTGAGGACCAGCACTGAACAAAGGATCTAACATAAGTTGTATGGAAACACTTCAAGAGTTGTGTCCCTTTACAGCAATAAACATGTCTCCCTGATAATAGACGACTTTTTTCTCAACTCATGTATGCTGCTTTTTCAGTTAATCTGGTGAGTATTTTTAGTTCTTTTATATCTGGATAAAACAAATCAACTAAGAAGAATGATATACAATAATTTTCAATTGAACATAACATGTAATGATATATTTATTGCATGAACTTTGTTGATAATAAAAGGTTCCATTTAATTTAACTTGTGCTCAAAAGCTGCAACATAAATTCCTCTGTGAAAATCATATGCACTTATAATGATAATACAACACCCACAACAGGTGATTTTTTTAAAAAGTACAAATTGTCAAAATTAAATCTACCCAAACTTTTCTGCAAGATACTATTTTCCTCATGACAACTTTTATTAACATATCCCTTGAAACCTTCAAATAAACGACAAGTATTTTGCATCAAGTGAGGTACATTGGAGTACTGAGACACTGAAATGCATAATTCATTACAAGCATAATGAAAAAACCCTCGTGAGACAACTGACTGATATAAGTTCAAGAAAGATAACAGATACAGTACTGTTTAGACAGTCACAGACTGATCCAACTATCCGACTAGATGATATTTGTGCTCTCATACCAAAGACTCTCAATGCAAAAATTCATGGATACCACAGATGGTGTTATCAAAACTTCGCGAACATCAACCGTCTTAAAAGATGATCCAACACTTCCAGCCTCTACAGCAAGTTAAATGAACCTCGACCAAAGAGAAGACGATCAGATACATTTACGGGTGTGTTTTTTCCTGCTGCCAAATCGATAGTGGAAGCTGCTGAATGAAAACAGGATGACTCGCTTCTCTGTGATATCTTGGGATCAGATCTTGTTGCCAAAGAGGCGCCACTATCACAATGTATGCAGACGCAGCTACACACGCGCAGAAGCTGCTGAGAGACACAACAGAAGCACCCAAGATGACTACAACTGGAGATTGGATGCTCATGAAACAGCGTTCAGCTATCTCTTCTCCTATATTGAAGAAAACATAATCCAAAAGGGTAAAATTGAACGGATGACTATGCTGAAAGAGAAATACCTGAACCACATTCTTACTCACAGTTCTTAGGTGCATAATGAAGAGTACAATACATACAAACTCAAGGATAAAATTTAAAGACATTTTGGAAGTAAAATAAGCTTTTGGCAGCCTAATCACCATAGCGATCGTATCTATTCTGAAAGTGTTTTTTGAGACGATTGATCTTAGAAGCTCACAAGAGTTGTACTTCTCTTCCGTGGCCACCATCAGCTAAAGATCTCAGGGATCATTCTCTAGGACTTCCACCTCTTCTGCTTGATTTGGTGGCTCACGTACTATCTGGTAAAGCCTATTCTTCAACCAGCAACAAAACAAAGCGACTCTTTAACTCATTGAGCCAGGATCTGTGCTTTGCTTCAACTCATGGCAAGTGGACATTACCACAGCATTTGCTTCTTGCAATGACAATCAGACACTGGACTGGCAGTGCAGAGATTTTGACTCTTCTTAATCGGTTTGGACATTGTCAGTCTTATTGTCAAAATCTTGGATTGGAAACATCCATTTGCAACAAGATCACATCTAGCAACTCTATTCTCCCAGCTACAGCTGTTCCAGGACAAACAGAAGTGATTCACTTTTGTTGGGATAACTTTGATTCTCAATGAAGAAACACCTTCAGGAAGAGGGACAACACACACCGCTCATGGTAACATCATACAGAAATCTAGATCTGTGAACCCTATAGAAAGAGAACTTGCGAATTGTTACTGGAAAGGAAAGCCTGGGCCAAACTTTGACATCCAGAGAACAAGAACAGATGATCCTGCTAGTCATTCAGATGAAGTGATATCTGATATTCTCTGGCTACTCTGCAGAATTCACAAGTCAGGAGAAGTTCCAGGGTGGACGGGATGGTTGTCAAGTGTGAGCCAGAAGGTCGACAAGAAGCAATCAGTTGTGGATTACATGACACCAGTGAATGCTCCAGTCACTGACAATGCAACAGTTCAACATCTCCTGGAAATATCTCAAGAAGCAAGCGATCAACTTAATAAAAGCTACACTATTGTTACCTTTGATATTGCAGTTGCAAAGAAAGCTCTGTCATTAGATGTTTTGAGAATGTTATAGTACGCCTTGGAGTCTTTCATACCGTTTGTGCTATTTTCGGAGCTCTAGGAAAGAGAATGGAAGGGAGTGGATTTTCTGAAATATTCATAGAGTCTGGAATATGTGCAAGCGGCTCTGTTGCAAAATTTATCTCAGGAAAACACTACAACCACGCCATGCGGGTACACAAGCTTGTACTCGAAGGCTTGGAAAGGCTTCTTCTTCAAGCTTTCCTAACATCTCACAGTCATGATCATGTGAAGCCTTTGCTTGACATGTTGATTGAAGCCCAGGACTCTCCTAGTTTAAAGACAGCCACTGAGAGTGAGGCCGGCAGATTGTTGCATCAACAGTATGAAAGATTCAAAGTGTCTGGAAGGAAAGGGGAACTTGGCAAAACAGCACAATTTTGACTCACTTACGAATGAGTACGAGCCTCTGGGGGAGAAATATTTCGAGTGTATTACCTTCAAGACCTTCTTCCTAGTGGCCCTTGCAACCGCTGCAGACATCTCGGAACTTCATGCCCTGGATGTCAACCGAGTGCACTTTGAATGGAAGAGGCATGGCAAAGTATTTCTTGACTAAGATTGAACTTCATTGCCAAGAATCAGTTACCCGGAGAGTTAGATAGACTTTTGTCATTCCACCACTGTCCATGATAATGGGGCCCGACGACACTGAGGATCTCTCACTCTGCATGGTTAGGGCATTATAATTACAAGTGTACCTTTCTGCATCTCAAGACCGACGTAGGGTACGCAAGAGACTTTTCACCCTATTGTCTACAGCTTCATCAGCAGACTCTCTCGTACAACCCTTGCATTTTGAATGCGTTCAACCATCCTATGTGCCTACGCCTACGATGACCTTTAGCAACCTACTACTGCTAGCCCTCACGAGACACAAGCTTTGGCTTCAACAATGGCACTACACTACTGTTCTCTTAATGCCAACATGGATGGTTGTTTCTTGAGTTCACTTGTCTCACACTATCTACGAGATCTATCCATCATTGATGTGGAAGGCTTGCACCAGTTTAGCCTTTTGGTGCTAGCGCAGCAACTTTTGTTGACCCCTCAACGCAGATGAAGGAGCAGCCTTCCTTGCGATGGTCATGCTACCTCGTATTTCAACAGAAGAAATTGATATTATCTTTTCATATTGTTCTACTTTATCCTGGGCATAGATCACCTTCATCTTCACCGAAGCCGGGCATTGTAATACTGTCATAAACATAACTCTATAGACTGTGAGGCCAATCTTGTACTTCATCCACTGGCTGACCTCTACTCTTGCGAACAATTACGTCAGTGAATTGTTGTTTTCCGAATTCCTACGGGTTTTCAAAGCGTTCCACTCCTAAGTTCCTTTCTCATCTTATGATGATTGATTGGTACTGAACATTAAACGAGTTGAGCACCAGGCCATCTTCCCTTTTACTGCCATCCAGCGTGTGATCGAGGGGGATGGTTTAGAAGCAGGGGCTGTCCAGATTAATGTCTTAGACTTTAATTCACTGGGGTCTTCTGATAAATCGCAGAGAGGCGGGGTCTACTTGCCAAACTGCGTCCTTTTGTCTTGAAACCACATCGATTCTGGACTGCCCACTCCCTAGAATCTTTGTGTCTTGTAAGCCAAGGGGTTAATACACCAGAAGCAACCCATACAAGTATTGGAGTATAGCATATCTGGAGTTGGTGCTTTCTCCAGGCCTCCTTGCGTAATGCGTCATCATGGTTTTTATACATTAGACACAGGGTAATCTGCGGATAAGTATTATAGATAAACAATTTATAGTAAAATTTTCAATTGTGTCTTTGCTAATCAAGTTATACCATAGCCACTGCCTCATGACACAACAAAAGCCTGAAATCTTGGAACTGGGAAGCAACTTACTGTTACTGACAATTTTCATTGATTGTTGTAACTATGGAAATGAACAAAAACAGGGCATATATTGGTACTTTCCAAGGACTTTATGTGTCACTTGCACTTGGTTTTACAGACATGATGACAAAATGACCTTGATGATAAAATGTTTCAATGAATTTGTTTTAAATTCTATTGTATTGTAGGTTAAAGAGAGTTAAAACCTGTGAAGATATGGGTTAGAATTGATGTTCAGTAACCCATGCTTGTCGTACGAGGCAACTAACGGGATCAGGTGGTCAGGCTCGCTGACTGGGTTGACACATGTCATGGTATCCCAATTGTGTAGATTGATGTTTATGCTGTTGGTCCCTGGATTGTCTGGTCCAGATCCGATTATTTACAGACCACCGCCATAAAGCTGGAATATTGCTAAGTGCGGCATAAAACTAAACTCACTCACTCACTTAAGTGAGTTAAACCTCATCTCACCTCACTTCACCTCATTTCAGGAACGATTAACCTAGCCAGAGGCAAGCCAGCAACAGCGAGCTCTGTGTATGGGACACATCCTGAAGTTGCAACAGACGGCCTCCCTTACACTGACTGGAAAAGTGGCAGTTGTTTTGCTGTGGCAGAAGGAGACAATCATCCCTGGTGGCAAGTCGATCTTGAAGCTTATTCTGAGGTGTTTGAGGTTGCCGTGACAAGCAGGAGTGACTGTTGTCGTGAGTATAATGTTACGATGTACACTAAAAACTGAATCTAATTTGACGAGATTGTAATAGTTCTTTAAACAATCTGAAACAATCTGTACACGGCATGATCTCAGTAAGAATGGGACTGTACTTATTCCCAACAAAAACTGAAAAAGAGGTAAGTCTACAATTAGGCATGCATATATCCCATAATTAATTGTAAATATTACCCTCTTTCTATAATAAGATAATATGACTATATTATAACTTATATTGTTAAGCTGTTTATCGTACTCAGACAGTGAAGAGTATGGGATTCGCCAAACAAGCTGTATAGTGACGAGGGTTTTCGGAAGGGCTGGGTCAAGACAAGCCAAGAACGGCTACTTCCTCTTTTCACCCACCTCTTCTTGACAGGCTCCTTATGTTTTATCAGCATGATCTGTTGGGAAAACGGTCGAGCTGTAAACCAAAGACAATCAAAGAATATCTAGTTCCTACTGTGTGTGGATATGGATATGGATATGGAATACACCCTGAAAAACACAATATTACATGACACATAAACACGTAAATACATTGTACTTAAACATACGGTTCACAGACTTGATGCAGAACGATATGTGCATTGGCAATGAACGTGATTACAACATGGAGATAGACCCCAGGTCTTGCTCAAAGTTAAGGAAAATAATGACAACCTGTCAGTTATAAAAGAGTGTGATTTCAACAGCCATACTCATGGAGAACAGTCTAGAAATAAATCAATACTTGCACACATCCATTTATTAACTTGCAGTGATAGAATATTTAGTGAACCTTGTAAATAATTATTTAATCAGTCATAACCTATTTTTATCAGTAGTATACACAATAATGACCACTTACCCTCATCAATCCTTTTCACTCCAATTCCACCCCCACAGCTACCATAACACAGACCAAATTCAGCGGAACATCAAATGATCGAGATGAATTCACAGCTCTCGATAGGGAACTATATATACTACTCAAAAGATGTTAAGGGTCAAACGAAATGTGGACATCAAAATTAGAATGGGCAATTTTGAGACAAATAGGGACAGGAAACTTTCTGTATGGGTGTTATTTGGACTGAAGACATCATAACTTCATGACAAAAGTTATCATTACCCGTTTCATTAGGTAACTGTCAAATCTAACTGTAAATTCGGACTTCTTGATTTGAACCATGAACTCGGCTACACTAAACTGACCCTCATCAGCGAAACAACCATTATGCCACCTAATGCACATTTTACACGTACTGTCCATGGATGTCATTTTATGCATGCACATTTTCACAATAAAAAGACCAAGCATTTTCAAATCGGCCTCATTTGAAATTTGAAGATGGTCAGACGACAGCTCAGCATTCAAGACAGAGGAAGGGCAATAGGTTGGCAATAGATGGTCAAACCCAACGAAGTGTTGCTAGGCGACTAAATGTATGCCAAAGTGTTATCTGGTGACTATGACAGGGGTTCAGGACAACAAATGCTGTCCAGAATCGGCCCATTCCGGAAGACATCGATCAACAACAGCCCGAAATGATCTCTACTTGATGATGATGGTTCTGCGACATTGATTTTTGACCGCAAGACATCTTCAGGATCAGTTGAGAGCTGGCCGTTGCACCAACGTATCCGATCAGACAGTTCAAAATCGTCTATGTGTCCGACGTTTGCGCTCTCGACGTTCTCCAGTCCGACCACCACTACTTGAGCGGCACAGAAGAGCTGGCCGAGATTGGTGCCGTTGGCATGTTCGTTGGAACCGTGATCAGTGGGCACAGACAATCTTTTCTGCTGAATCCCACCTCACACTCCAGTTTAAGGATGGTCGTGCCCGTGTTTATCGTCACCAACGAGAGAAGTATGCTGACGTCAACGTTGCTCAACGTTTACCTTTCGGAGGCGGAAGCGTGATGGTCTGGGCGGATATCTGCACCACAGAACTGCTCTCTAAATCGTCAATGGGAATTTGACTGGTCTTCGATATCTCATCGAGATTATTCAACCTCTGGTGATGCCACTGCTTCGTCAACTTGGACCAGGGGCCTGGTTCCGGGATGATAACGCTAGACCCCATCGTGCCAGGGTGGTGACAGACTTTCTGCAGCAGCAGAACGTTCAGCACATGGTGTGGCCTGCTTATTCACCCGACTTGTTACCAATTGAGCATGCCTGGGATGAGATAGGACGAAGAATTCAAGCTTATCACGTCCCTGCCGTCAACCCACAAGAACTGGGTCAACAACTAGTCCCAGAATGGGCAGCAGCCCCCCAACAATGTTTTAGGCGTTTAATGAATAACATGTGTCAACAGGGTCAGGAATTCATCCATGCTAACGGTGGCTACACGAGTTATTAAAGATTTCTGGCTTTGTGTGAACTCTGATTTTGGGGTACTTGACTTCGATGAATTGTGGAATAAAGTTGTGCTAAACAATTCACTTTTTGTTTTGTGTTTTCGTTTCTTTAGAGCTTGAGGTTTTGTTTTTGTCATTGGTTGTCACAATTTTATTTCCATATCTTCTGCTTATATTCCAAAATACTTGTGACCCTTAACTTCTTTTGAGGAGTATATATCTGGTATTTTCGATCATTGTTGCGGGAGATGATAATTCTTATGGGATCTTTTCCACTGGTTAAGCATTCTGTTCGACTCATTTAGTTTGAGACTAGCTCCATTAGGTTTAAAATTTTCATTGTTCAGTCAACAAACATTATAATAACCATCGGAAATAATGTGGCGGTCTCTTTTTGTCGCTGGTCTCAGCGATGACCAGGCCACACTGCCTAGTGGTGACAAACTTCAAGTCTGTTTTCATATTTCACGTTTACTACCAGATCAGGTGCATACTTAAAGAAATAAATACACCGGTTCCACAGGACTCCGAATGGAGCGCAATGAATAATCCGTACGATCGGCGTGCATAAGAACGTATTTATGATGAATTCAGAATCAACACAAATACGGATTGGCGTTTGCCAGGAGTTAATCGTTGTTTGGGTATTCCACTCGTTCACCATCTGCCCCTCAAATAAGCTGAAAGAATGGAGGTTTCAGCAAGGACCCGAAGATGATTTGAAAAAAATATTTTAGATAAATCAAATGGGTTTTCTCATCCCATTGTTGTAAGACTTTGGAGTATTATAGGTCAGGGGACAGCTTTTGATGCGCAGAAACAATTTGTGGCGAACGTCGAAGATTCTATTTCATCCCCTGTAGATTTGCCAAAAGCCATCAAGAGATACCAAAATTTGCTAGTGAATGCCGGGTCTAAAGTAAACTACGTTTTTGGTATAGGTTTGTACGTGGCTCTTAGTAATATGAAAATTAGAGTTAATCACGTGGAAGGTTCTAACAACGAAATTGTCATGGCTACGAGCGAACAACCAGATGTCAACATACCAGTACTGATACCGTCAACGCATACAGGTGAAACGGGAATAGTGATCCCACCAGAGCAGGAAGCCCAGTCACCGCAACATACTACACCAAAACCACAGTCGTCAGCACATGCTCAAAATCAATGACATATCAATCAATCGTGCGATTGCAATTTGTTTGTATGTAGTTAAAAATTCCTTAGCGTCTATATACAGCAGGCCGACAACTGACATGATTAACGTCTACAAATTTTGACTAAGCCAAGTAGCAGTCTTAGATAATACGTTCAGTAGCCAGGATGCAATACCACTAATTATACCTGGGAGTGCTTACACTAGCCTTGCTAGGGCTTCACCCAGGGACTTTAAATGTTTTTCATCTATTCTTTTACGTCACTAGGCGGTAGGCTAGGTGGTGTCAGAGCATCACCCGTAATAGAGAGAACTAATGTCGATATGATAAAACCACGGTGCGGTTAAAATACTAGCAATGGTTCTATCGTCGTGTCATCGTTCAGAACTCGATTGATGGTTTCGCAAATTCTACTGATTTGGGATCAAAGAGCTTCTATATTGGTGGAAGCCGCTTCTATTCGGACCAATCTTTCACAATCTACCTCAATCTTTCACCTTCTTTCTGCAACACGTCTGTTGAATTCACTTCCCGCTTCTTCGAGTTTTCTTTTCTCCTTATCCATATGAGTGTTGAGATTGTCTAGTTTAGCTAAGTTATTGACAAGCATTGTTTGCATGGCATCAACTAGGCCTCACAGTTCCCGAATTGTATGATTCAGCTCCGGTGTTTCTAATTAAGTATTGTTTACTAAATATTTTGTCGAGTCCTATCAAACCTTCCTTAGTCTTTTGTGGTACCTCTCTCAAATTATCCTGATCTAACGCACTCGCCATTGCACCGAGATCAGTCCGCACCGTTTGCAGTGTTTTAGTGGTCTTTGCTGAAAGTCTTGACTGTGTACAACAGTGTTCCAGATTTAATTCATCGTAGAGAAAGTTGACGCCATGGTGATTGGCCAGTGTAGACAATGCAAGGTGTTTTCTCATAGGGCATTCAGAGATCAACGTCCGGAGCCGCTTTCAGTCGCAGTATCCCTTTATTATCTATTTCAAACTTAGAAAAGGTGTCATGTTATTTTCATCTTCTTTAAGACATCATAGTAATCATTCACAGTCGTCTTTAAAAGTTCGTTGCTTAGGACGTCACCCATGGATGAGGTGTCATTTGCAGTGGTTCATCATCCACCACTGGCGTTTCATGAGTGACATCCAAATCGTTACAGGACTGGTTAAAAGCATTTCAAGTTTAAGGGAGAGTCGAAGCTTTTCATCATAGACGATTTCAGCGTAAATAAAGAAATCACCAAAAAGAGAGACATATTGTCCTATTTAGCATTTTCGGGTCGTCTTATGAAGCATAGCATTTGGGTACTCACTCAAAAATTCAACTCGGTAATGAAAGACCTCAGAGAACTGATGCGATGGGTCACATTATTTCACTGCAAGGATAGGGATTCGTTCGTGGAATGTTTACAAGAAAATGATGTTATCCCAACAAAACAGAATGACAACACGTGAAGCTCATACTGAAAACAGACAAAC